TATTACGTGATGTAGCGTCGTAATAATTAGCTAGTTTTACAAAAACAAACTTTACGATGTTATGTTTGTGCATACGTAGATGTAGCGTGTAATAATTAGCCAAGTTTTACAAACAAACTTTACAGATGTTACATGTTTGTGCTTACGTAGATGTAGCGTCGTAATAATTGGCCAAGTTTTTACAAAAGAAACTTTACGAATGTTACATGTTTGTGCATATGTAGATGTAGCGTCGTAATAATTGGCTAAGTTTTGAAACTTTACAGATGTTACATGTTTGTGCATATGTAGATGTAGCGTCGTAATAATTGTAGAAGTTACACAAACAAACTTTACAGATGTTTACATGTTTGTGCGTACGTAGATGTAGCGTCGTAATAATTAGCCAAGTTTTAGAAAAGAAACTTTACGAATGTTACATGTTTGTGCATATGTAGACGTCGTAATAATTGTAAGATTTTTTACAAACAAACTTTACGAATGTTACATGTTTGTGCATATGTAGATGTAGCGTCGTAATAATTGTGAAGTTTTACAAAACAAACTTTACGAATGTTACATGTTTGTGCTTACGTAGATGTAGCGTCGTAATAATTGGCCAAGTTTTTACAAAACAAACTTACGAATGTTACATGTTTGTGCATACGTAGATGTTCAACGTCGTAATAATTGGCCAAGTTTTACAAAACAAACAAACTTTACGAATGTTACATGTTTGTGCTTACGTAGATGTAGCGTCGTAATAATGGCCAAGTTTTTACAAAACTCAACTTTACGAATGTTACATGTTTTGTGCTTACGTAGATCTTAGCGTCGTAATAATTGTGGGATTTTTACAAAACAAACTTTACGAAAGTGTTACATGTTTGATAACGTGAATGGCGTCGTAATAATTGGCCAAGTTTTACAAACAAACTTTACAAATGTTACATGTTTGTGCATGGCGTAGATGTAGCGTCGTAATAATTGGCCAAGTTTTACAAACAAACTTTACGAATGTTACATGTTTTTGTGCATACGTAGATGTAGCGTCGTAATAATTGTAAAGTTTTACAAAACAAACTTTACGAATGTTACATGTTTGTGCATACGTAGATGTAGCGTCGTAATAATTGGCTAAGTTTTACAAAACAAACTTTACGAATGTTACATGTTTGTGCTTACGTAGATGTAGCGTCGTAATAATTGTGGGATTTTTACAAAACAAACTTTACGAATGTTACATGTTTGTGCTTACGTAGATGTAGCGTCAATAATAATTGGCCAAGTTTTACAAACAAACTTTACAAATGTTACATGTTTGTGCATACGTAGATGTAGCGTCGTAATAATTGGCCAAGTTTTTGCAAACAAACTGCAGATGTTACATGTTTTGTGCATACGTAGATGTAGCGTCGTAATAATTAGCTAAGTTTTTTTACAAAACAAACTTTACGAATGTTACATGTTTGTGCTTACGTAGATGTAGCGTCGTAATAATTGGCAAAGTTTTTACAAACAAACTTTACAAATGTTACATGTTTGTGCATACACGTAGATGTAGCGTCGTAATAATTGGCCAAGTTTTACAAACAAACTTTACGAATGTTACATGTTTGTGCATACGTAGATGTAGCGTCGTAATAATTAGCTAAGTTTTTACAAACAAACTTTAAGAATGTTACATGTTTGTGCTTACGTAGATGTAGCGTAATAATTGGCTGGTTTTTAAAAACAAACTTTACAGATGTTACATGTTTGTGCCCACGTAGATGTAGCGTCGTAATAATTGTGAGTTTTTACAAACAAACTTTACAAATGTTACATGTTTGTGCATACGTAGATGTTGCGTCGTAATAATTGTGCAAGTTTTTTACAAAACAAACTTTACGAATGTTACTGTTTGTGCATACGTAGATGTAGCGTCGTAATAATTGGCCAAGTTTTACAAAACAAACTTTACGAATGTTACATGTTTGTGCATACGTAGATGTAGCGTCGTAATAATTGGCTAAGTTTTTAAAAACAAACTTTACGAATGTTACATGTTTGTGCTTACGTAGATGTAGCGTCGTAATAATTGGCCAAGTTTTTTACAAAACAAACTTTACGAATGTTACATGTTTGTGCTTACACGTAGATGTAGCGTCGTAATAGTGGCCAAGTTTTTACAAACAAACTTTACAAATGTTACATGTTTGTGCATACGTAGATGTAGCGTCGTATAATGGCAGTTTTTACAAACAAACTTTACAGAATTTACATGTTTGTGCATACGTAGATGTGGCGTCGTAATAATTAGCTAAGTTTACACAAACAAACTTTACGATGTTACATGTTTGTGCTACGTAGATGTGGCGTCGTAATAATTGGAAGTTTTACAAACAAACTTTACAAATGTTACATGTTTGTGCATACGTAGATGTAGCGTCGTAATAATTGTGCCATTTTTACAAACAAACTTTACAAAGATGTTACATGTTTGTGCATACGTAGATGTAGCGTCGTAATAATTAGCTAAGTTTTTACAAACAAACTTTAAGAATGTTACATGTTTGTGCTTACGTAGATGTAGCGTCGTAATAATTGGCCAAGTTTTTACAAAACAAACTTTACGAATGTTACATGTTTGTGCTTACGTAGATGTAGCGTCGTAATAATTGGCCAAGTTTTTACAAACAAACTTTACAAATGTTACATGTTTGTGCATACGTAGATGTAGCGTCGTAATAATTGGCCAATTTTTACAAACAAACTTTACGATGTTACATGTTTGTGCATACGTAGATGTAGCGTCGTAATAATTGGCCAAGTTTTACAAAACAAACTTTACGAATGTTACATGTTTGTGCATACGTAGATGTAGCGTCGTAATAATTGGCTAAGTTTTTACAAAACAAACTTTACGAATGTTACATGTTTGTGCTTACGTAGATGTAGCGTCGTAATAATTGGCCAAGTTTTTACAAAACAAACTTTACGAATGTTACATGTTTGTACGTAGATGGCGTCGTAATAATTGGCCAAGTTTTACAAACAAACTTTACAAATGTTACATGTTTGTGCATACGTAGATGTAGCGTCGTAATAATTGGCCAAGTTTTTACAAACAAACTTTACGAATGTTACATGTTTGTACATACGTAGATGTAGCGTCGTAATAATTAGCTAAGTTTTTACAAACAAACTTTACGAATGTTACATGTTTGTGCTTACGTAGATGTAGCGTCGTAATAATTGGCCAAGTTTTTACAAACAAACTTTACAAATGTTACATGTTTGTGCATACGTAGATGTAGCGTCGTAATAATTGAAGTTTTACAAACAAACTTTACGAATGTTACATGTTTGTGCATACGTAGATGTAGCGTCGTAATAATTAGCCTAAGTTTTACAAACAAACTTTAAAGAATGTTACATGGCATGGTGGCGTGTGTAATTGACGGTTTTACAAAAACTTTAGATGTTGCATGTTTGTGCATATGGATGTAGCGTCGTAATAATTGTAAGTTTTACAAAACAAACTTTACAGATGTTACATGTTTGTGCATACGTAGATGTAGCGTCGTAATAATTGTGAAGTTTTACAAAGAAACTTTACGAATGTTACATGTTTGTGCATATGTAGATGTAGCGTCGTAATAATTGGCCAAGTTTTTACAAACAAACTTTACGAATGTTACATGTTTGTGCATATGTAGATGTAGCGTCGTAATAATTGTGAAGTTTTACAAACAAACTTTACGAATGTTACATGTTTGTGCATACGTAGATGTAGCGTCGTAATAATTGGCTAAGTTTTACAAAACAAACTTTACGAATGTTACATGTTTGTGCTTACGTAGATGTAGCGTCGTAATAATTGGCCAAGTTTTTACAAAACAAACTTTACGAATGTTACATGTTTGTGCTTACGTAGATGTAGCGTCGTAATAATTGGCCAAGTTTTTACAAACAAACTTTACAAATGTTACATGTTTGTGCATACGTAGATGTAGCGTCGTAATAATTGGCCAAGTTTTTACAAACAAACTTTACGAATGTTACATGTTTGTGCATACGTAGATGTAGCGTCGTAATAATTAGCTAAGTTTTTACAAACAAACTTTACGAATGTTACATGTTTGTGCTTACGTAGATGTAGCGTCGTAATAATTGGCCAAGTTTTACAAACAAACTTTACAAATGTTACATGTTTGTGCATACGTAGATGTAGCGTCGTAATAATTGGCCAAGTTTTTACAAACAAACTTTACGAATTTTACATGTTTGTGCATACGTAGATGTAGCGTCGTAATAATTAGCTAAGTTTTTACAAACAAACTTTAAGAATGTTACATGTTTGTGCTTACGTAGATGTAGCGTCGTAATAATGGCCAAGTTTTTACAAAGAAACTTTACGAATGTTACATGTTTGTGCATATGTAGATGTAGCGTCGTAATAATTGGCCAAGTTTTTACAAACAAACTTTACGAATGTTACATGTTTGTGCGTACGTAGATGTAGCGTCGTAATAATTGGCCAAGTTTTTACAAAAGAAACTTTACGAATGTTACATGTTTGTGCATATGTAGATGTAGCGTCGTAATAATTGGAAGTTTTTACAAAAGAAACTTTACGAATGTTACATGTTTGTGCATATGTAGATGTAGCGTCGTAATAATTGGCCAAGTTTTTACAAAAGAAACTTTACGAATGTTACATGTTTGTGCATATGTAGATGTAGCGTCGTAATAATTGGCCAAGTTTTTACAAACAAACTTTACGAATTTTCAAAAATAAACTTGTTGCTGTCGTCAGCTATCACAAAAACACGTCAGTTGAGTCACGTGACTCGTTTGCAGACCGAAAACTTCTAATCCTACGTCAAATGCCAATGAGAAGTCATCGTGTGTATAATATATTACAAACGATCAAATTGTATACATAAGTGAAATAACTGATAGAACTCATTTTTTATTAAACAATAAATTATCAATATTGATCTACAGTTAGCAACTGCAACGGCCCAAACACAAACCTCGTTCACTTTGTCAGCTCTGTCGATGAAACCAAAAGATTCCTTGAGCGAGCAGACAATTCCTTGAACGTAAACAGGAGGCAAAGCTTCGAGCAGCAACAACTCCACGGCACAGCACTGTCCATTTCTATAGAGGTTTATGAACTGTAGCAGTGCATCAAAAAAACAACAATTTGGACATGGCTCGTAAATTTGACATGGTTCGTGTAAATAATAAACTAACGTCCATGTTATAAACGTTAACCAAAGCGTTTTCCTGTGTAAGGTAGCATATCAAAGCGTAGAAATAAGGAGAAAGACTTCACCAAAATAGAAAGAACATTCTTAAGACTGTGCATTCATTGCTTAACCACGTAATGTAATGCACGCGATGAAGCACGTGATACAATCTAGAGAAACAGTACAAGCTTTAGACGCTATAGCAAAGAATATAATTTACCTTTTGTTTTCCAGGATGTAAAAAGACACAGTATCACCTTTGTAGATAAGAGACTTTGATAAAACATAAGCTTGATCATATGGAAGAAAAAACAATTCCTGAAAAAAAAGAGCAACGGTTCGAATCATAAAGATCCACCCCCTGACCGTGCAGACCTGTATTATGCAATTATCTTAAACTCCACCCCCCTGACAGTGCATACCTGTATTATGCAATTATCTTAAACTCCACCCCCGACAGTGCATACCTGTATCATGCAATTATCTTAAACTCCACTCCCGACAGTGCATACCTGTATTATGCAATTATCTTAAACTCCACCCCCGACAGTGCATACCTGTATTATGCAATTATCTTAAACTCCACCCGCTGACAGTGCATACCTGTATCATGCAATTATCTTAAACTCCACCCCGACAGTGCATACCTGTATCATGCAATTATCTTAAACTCCACTCCCGACAGTGCATACCTGTATCATGCAATTATCTTAAACTCCACTCCCGACAGTGCATACCTGTATTATGCAATTATCTTAAACTCCACCCCGACGAGTGCATACCTGTATCATGCAATTATCTTAAACTCCACTCCCGACAGTGCATACCTGTATCATGCAATTATCTTAAACTCCACCCCCGACAGTGCATACCTGTATCATGCAATTATCTTAAACTCCACTCCCGACAGTGCATACCTGTATCATGCAATTATCTTAAACTCCACCCCGACAGTGCATACCTGTATCATGCAATTATCTTAAACTCCACTCCCGACAGTGCATACCTGTATCATGCAATTATCTTAAACTCCACTCCCGACAGTGCATACCTGTATCATGCAATTATCTTAAACTCCACCCCGACAGTGCATACCTGTATCATGCAATTATCTTAAACTCCACTCCCGACAGTGCATACCTGTATCATGCAATTATCTTAAACTCCACTCCCGACAGTGCATACCTGTATCATGCAATTATCTTAAACTCCACCCCCGACAGTGCATACCTGTATCATGCAATGATCTTAAATTCATCTCATCTGATCTAAACCTAATCCCATATTGCAGTATAATTTTACTTATCAAGGGCGACAATACAGTGCCGCTATAATAGCCTCAATAATTGTGGAGGTGGGGAGGGTAGTCAATGTTTATGTAGGTATGCATGTCAAAAAGCCTAAAAAATTAATTTAATACGGCAAAATATGCACAGTAAGCTTTCTATGGTGTGGAGGGAATGATCAAAACCAAAAAAGGAAATAAGGGCGAAAACCTGTTTTAAAAGATGAAGGAAATGTCAATAATTTGCAGGCAGTAATCTACACTTTCCCTTATCGTCACGTCATTAACTTTCTTGCCTGTTTCAATTTTGAGATTTTTGCCCAAAGCAACTATTTTGCCCACTGGTGTGTTCTGTTTTTATTGCCCAATCGATAAATGTTCGATATAAGATGTTGAGTAAAAAGTTTGATACTTTTTATATTTTACATTAATTCTTGTCTCTCAACTCCCCAAATGACTTAGGTATAAAAGTTAGCAACGTGAAGATGCATAAAAAATGAAGAAGTTCAAACAGTACTTACTCCGTTCACTTCATAACTAACGCGACCACATTCGGACTCGCCATTGCGAAATAACTGCTACAAAAATAATGAAACTTTCTTCGAAAACGACATCCCAAACATTCAAAGTACAATAAAACAACAGCAATACGCAACTCAAAATTCATACACGACCATTAACAACGAGTAATTTTAAAGCAATATGCATAATGAACAGTGGTGTAGCAAGTAACTGGGAGGAGGGGTGAGCACACATCCATATATTCCACATATGCATATCCTGCCGTATTGAGTTCCATTGTGTTACATGCATAAAGACGTGCATAGATGAATTTGTTATCTACCCACCCCTCCCCATCCCTTAATTAACGGGTTTGCTTCGCCACTGACTATTACATTTTCACAGCTAATTGATCACGATGAAAATCACCTGTTTGGGGTAGCTGTGTCTCGACAACCTGCCCTCAACTTCCACTTTACCAACAACTCTTTCCTCGCTCTTTTCCTACAATAGAAACAGAAATGGATGATTCACCAAAAGATGATTTCTCAATTTCTCGTAAAACTTTGTAAACCAAACCAGGATGAACGTGCATACACGGCAAGCGTCAAAAAGTACACAATGTGTCAAGGTCACTTACTTCAAATGTAACAGAGCCTTGTTCTAATTTCACCACTCGACATGCAATTGGTTTACCCTTACGAGAATCTGATGTCACTTCAAACTCCACACAGTCTAAACAAAAAAAAGATTTAATCAACTATCAATATCAATCGAAATGTTTTTTACACTTCAGATTATAGCCCAGAGCAGTGGCCTTTGAAATAGCAATAGAGACAATGGGATAGGCGGTGGGGGGCGGATGGGTGAAGGATTACAGTGTGAAATTCCCCAACAAGTCAATGATCAGTGGTTTGTTCTGACTAGGTAAATAAACAAAAGTTCTGCTTCGTTTTACCCTACAATAAAACAAAGACTATACATGATTTTGAAAAGTTGTTTTATAACTAACAGTAACTTTTGGACACACTTCTTTTGCGGACAGAGTCCTTCAGAGTACCCATCACATTCACAATAAAAAGACAGAGCAGTGCAAGTTAGAATAGCAAAGAACACCCTGATACAACATCGTGAAGGCACGTGAAAGCCACGTGTTGATAACATGTACTGTGGTGGGATTCAGATGGTGGGGATCAAATTTTAAAAGTATACAAACAAACGTATGCCCTGGAATCTCCATAGAACTCTCAGGCCTTGAGGATGAGCTTCCAATATGTGATAAAGTCTCCACCACTGATTATGGTAGGGAGTGAAAAGTCATATGAGGAAACCCAATGAATCACTTGACAAAGAATGCTTTTCAAATAATGACTGATGAAACAAATGCTCTGAATAACTGGATAAGCCCAGAAAAACAGCTTGTTCCCCTTATTAAATAGCAGAAAGGCAACAAGCCTCATACTTGAATGAAATTATATCAACGTTTCAGAAAAGCAATATAATATTAGTAGTTGCACACATAACAAGTAATTTAAAGGTCATTGAAGGCTGAAAATAAGCAAAATTTACAAACCACCAAGTTCCAGTTCACTTGAATGTCCTTTGTACTGACTGTAATGAAAGAACACTCGAAGATCCTGTTCAGCACACTCAATAAAGCCATAACTTTGCTGCAAAAAAACATGCATAAATGTTATAGAAGAAAGACTGAATGTGCTTTTAGAGGGGATGAACTTAGGGAATATATATGAATAACATTATGGAAAATGTCATTAATACACATGTTGATGTCAAAGCACTCATTGCTGGTCAAATGTAGTACAATACAGTCAAATGTAGATGAATGTATTCAAATGTGGTTGAATGTACACAAAAGTAGATGAATGTATTGAAATGTAGATGAATGTATTCAAATGTGGTTGAATGTACACAAAAGTAGATAAACATATTCAAATGTACATAAATGCATTCAAATGTGGTTAAATGTACACAAAAGTAGATGAACGTATTCAAATGTGCATGAATGTATTCAAATGTGGTTAATTGTACACAAAAGTAGATGAATGTATTCAAATTTGGTTAAATGTACACAAAAGTAGATGCATGTATTCAAATGTAGATGAATGTTTTCAAATGTGGTTGAATGAATACAAATGTGGTTTAATGTCCTCAAACAGGGTGTAGATTAATATTACACAAATGGGCACGTGAATTTCAGTTGAAGGTATTTTCACAATCTAAAGGTAAAAATTGATACAATATCTGTCATGTTGGATTAAAGTGCCTATGTGCGATAATGGGACTTGATATTAGAATTATCTTAAAACATATATTACTGGAGCAAACAGTCCAAATGGAAGTTTCAATAGAAAGCTTTTCAAATTGACCAGAACAAAAAATAAGACACCAAAGAGTGCAAAACGGTTACAGCTTCCTCTACAAAGGCTATTGAAATCAAAAACATTTTTGGCAAACTTTTAGATATCATGCAAATGCACTTTTAGATGAACAAAGTGACATATTTTTTGTGTATTAAAAAACAAGTTTTTCAGTCATAGATAAATTTTTTACTTCTTCATTGTAAATCTTATTTTTATCTTGCGGGAACTTACTCTACAAAAGCAACACCTTTGTAAAAACAGCAGAATCTGCAGCAAACTTTTGCATTTGTCAATGTCACATAATGATCCATGAAAAAATTTCAAAAAAAGTAGGGAAGCATTTTTTGCAGTAATTTGGGTCCTTGACCAGTGCATAAAAACTCCATACTAAACTGACTTTAAATTGTTAAAATAACTTACACAAAGTTTTTCAATGACACCTGTTTCCCTGTGTCTTACATGAACACCATTTGAAAGGTAATGGTCACCAATACCATAGTCTGGAGACCCATTTGTTCGCATAGAATGTTTCTAAGTAATAAGAAAACATTATAGAATGTTTCTAATTAGTAAGAAAACGTTATAGGATGTTTATAATTAGTATGAAAACATTATAGAATGTTTCTAAGTAGTAAGAAAATGTTATAGAATGTTCCTAATTAGTAGGAAAACATTATAGAATGTTTCTAATTTGTAGGAAACCATTATAGAGTGTTTCTAATTAGTAAGAAAACATTATAGAATGTTTCCAAGTAGTAAGAAAACGTTATAGGATGTTTCTAATTGGTATGAAAACATTATAGAGTGTTTCTAAGTAGTAAGAAAATGTTATAGAATGTTTCTAAGTAGTAAGAAAATGTTATAGAATGTTTCTAATTAGTAGGAAAACATTATAGAATGCTTCTAAATAGTAGGAAAACATTATAGAATGCTTCTAATTAGTAGGAAAACATTATAGATTGTTTCTAAGTAGTAAGAAAACATTATAGAATGTTTCTAATCAGTAAGAAAACATTATAGAATGTTTCTAATTAGGAAGAAAACATTACAGAATGTTTCTAATTAGTAAGAAACATTAACAACAAAAATGAAATGAAACTAAAATTTTTCAAAAAAAAAGCAGTAGAAAGTACCTTCCACGAGTCTGTTGCCATGTTTGATTCACAAAAAGTGAATTCTGTTTGTTACAAAGGCTGCCAGCAGTTTGAATGATAACTTTTTGCAAAATAATATATATGGTATATGTATAAAAATTCTCCTCTCAATTTTCCTAATTCACCGAATAATATAATCCATTTGCCGCACAAAAACAGGAGGCACAAATCTGCTGTGAATAGTTAAGATTGTTTCGTGTAAGCTATGCCTTGCCAATATGAAAGTTTCCTTAACATGGGCTGTGCAAGATGATGTGAATTTGGCGGCTTTCTCTATAAAATTTGAATTGGCGTTTCCTCATCTTTTTCTGCTTTGCAGACATTTATTCCTAGAAAATAACCAGAAAAAAGTAATTTAACACATTTCTTCAAATATGTCATTTGCTCATCATCTAATAACATGGGACATTCAATTACATGTTTTGACTTATCAATAGTGCTGTAGAATATTTATCATCAAGAGCAACAGTTAACAATCAATAGCACAACATGTATATACATACTTTGTAAGAAAAGAGAAGTGCAGTGTTGTGATTGCAACAGACAATGTGCAACAGTTTATACCTATTACAACACACTATCTGTTGCACAACATATACATCTGTTTATTTAAATGTCTTCTTATCCAAATGATTCAAACTTTTCTTGAATTGAATGCGCATTAATGCGACTTAAATATTCCCAATTGTTAAGCAGTATAAATAAATGGTATTGTCTACTGGAGCTCTTGATTCTTCCTTCAAGTTAATGAATATTCTACTGTTCTACTTTTAAGTAAAATTGCATAATTGAATGTCCAATCTTCTTTAATGATGAGCAAATGGTGAAGCAGGAGTAACAAGAGACAAATCCCACAAAATACTTTACAATAGTGAGTACGGAATCAAGACACTGCACTGGATTCCTTGTGATAAAGACTATAATTTTTATATACAGCAACATAGCTATTGTAATTATACAAAAGATCAATCCACACTAAGACTGGAGCACATAAGGAGTAAAGTTTCAACATCAAATCAATTTTCACTAGAGACTAATCACCAGACAAAAAATATGTTAAAACTTTCAACATGAATCACATCAGACAAAGGCGACTCATAATTTTGAAGTCAAACGTACAATTATCATGTCCATAGAAATCAGACAAAAGACACACATTTATTTGTATCTTTAAAAGAGTCGAGGCACATCTAAAGTTCTTTTTCAATTTGGAAATTCAATTCTGAGATTCACTTCTTGAAGACATCAAATATCAAACGAAAAACTTTTTCATCAGAATATCAAATTGCTTGTCAGTCTTTGTTTCTTAATTTAATTCAATAGTGGTCATTTGAAGAAACTGTAGCGTATAGTTTTACTTAAATTGGATGCCGCAAAAGCAAAAAACAAAAGGAAGAATACGAATAGCACACAAATACAGGCAAGGAGAATATTTTGCCGTCTGCTGAGTCTTTGTTAATCGGCTTTGTCTCGAAACATGGTGACTAATGATTGTCAATTTAAAAGGTCAAATTAACGCCAACGGAATACAAAGTGAACAAAAATGTAATGAAATATTTAAAAACTGACAATTGATATTGAAAAGGAAATCAATACCTTTTTGAGGACAAAATTTCGTCCGTAACCACAACACTATCCAAATTTTTACAATCCGCCATTTTACATGACATAAGTGAACTCTTGAAAGTTGAAACACCGGGCACTTCCGGTCATCTGTAAACGTGACGTATTAACCGGAGATACTCGTAAGAGGGTCGCTATGTTTTCCGTGACTATAGCCTGATTCGTTGATTCGAATAAGTCTTAAATACCCTCATAAAGATACCTTTATGTTTCATTGTAATCGCTCTGTATTTCTGTATTTGTAGCAAGTTGATATTTTCCGTAAATAAAGCATAATTCGAAAGCAAATGTAAGTTATGGCCGCGTTTAAACAGAGATCAATCTTTCGTTGGTGTTCAGGCCGGTGTAGAAAAACGAGGAGAGGGGTTAACAACAGACTATTCATTAACGATTTGATTGTCACCAATTAACTTGAAACCACTGGGCTCTTTCCTTAGTATTCAACCAAAGGATATGTTTTGCAATCGAGCTTTCTGACAAATACATTTTTCATGTTTTTTAAAATCTCAAGTCGTTGCTTTCAATCCATTTCTTCTTCTTCGTTAATCACTAATCTACAGCCAAAGTACAACGTTCCTAGCACTCTCGCAATCAAATCATCAGGAAACTCAATTAACTCGAAAATTTTGGATATTTTCTGTGAATATCATCACGACGATAAGAAAAGAAAACAAGAAAGGACTAGAACATGGTTTGAATTACCATTTTTTTAACACTGACAAAGTTGTTAACAATATCAACTCCATCCACTAAAACTTCCTGTTTCCTATGTCAGGTAAATTAATGAAATGACAGTGCGCACATATTCATACACATACCACTAACTCCAAAATACATGAATGTATGAAAATCCCCCTCCTCATTAAAATAAATTACTGAGCTTGCTTCGACAATGTTTATTTGTAATTTAACTTTACTTCTTATTTAATGTATTTAGATAAAAAGTATTACAGCTGTTATCCTATTCAAAATATTCACTACATCCTTAGTCTAAAAATTTAATGTTATGTTCCAAATTGTTTTTTAATACTGTTCAGTATCACTCACTCTCGTTCACTCTTATAGTTACATAGGAAATAAAATTTTATGCTTAATTATATTCTTTTATAATACGCTAAATTTCAGAAAACGTGTAATAATATCGCGAAAAAAATTCAACTTCGCCCATTTTTGGGAACTTTTAGTAGCCGTCGAATGACTACAATACGCAGTTCACTGCACGGTAGCAGAGTTTGAATTGATCCTAACAAAAAGAATGACCAATATGACAAGAATAATGAGCAAAACAAAAGCTACAACTGCACCAGCAATAGCTCCAGTGTTTCCACCGTCTACAAGATAAAAAAGAGAATGACAAATCATAACATTACCAACAAATGTTGTCTTTCAGCGATCATTTTATCATTTTTCTAAAGCTGAGGGTGTAACCACTCTCACACCCCATGTATTCATCCCTGATAACTATTCATGATTTATTTATGGTAAAAATTAGGTTTGGAATGCAATGAAATTACAGAAGAGGTACACAAAATCACTAAGGCAGTTATTGGAACTAAATCGGCTGTATCATCAAATAATATCTCTACTCATCGTTAAAAAACTTTCTGGCATTTGTCTGTACTGAGATTTGTAAATATTTTGAAGCATTACACTTTAGACATCGATACACTTCCCTTAAGCTATTGAAAGGAAACACAAACCTGAAGACTCCTGCTTTTGGGCAATTGCTGCCACTGTGCTCCAGTCAGTGGAATAATAATCACCCTGAAACAAAGTGAACATTTATATTTGAATAAAAATTGCAGCAGGCAATGCAGATGAAAACGTATAAAAAATTTCGCACCTGATCATTAATGAAAATGCGCTGAAATATTTTGTAGTTAGTGCCAGGCTTCAGCGGGCCATTATAATAATTTTCACCATTGGAACGCCGTGTTGTGTTTTCACCATCACCAAGTGTAAAATCATGCTTAAAGTCTCTGCGAGATACTACAGCAGCAATATACGGCATTGGTTGTGCGGAAGATATGGCCTCAAAATAAGTTCCTAAGTCTGTGTTGTTAAAGTTAGAAGGCAATCGACTCTTTTCTGTGCCATTTTTCATCGCGACTACATAGAAATATCTGCAAATTGAAGGCAAAACATTTTTTTAAAAATACATACCTAACCTCTGCTTTCGTTATTCTTTAAAGTATATGTTATGCATGCATCCGCATTGCCAGAGAAAGCGACTTGTCATCAAACCTTTTCCCAGAGAGATATTTAGACTACCTCGATCCCACATGAAACCAACTGTCCTATACTTAGCCATGAATCCGAAAAACTCAAAAAATACTTTTAAGTTCCTTTAAGTTTTTTTTACAATAATTTGCTCTAGTAAAATACATAGTTACCGATATTCCAAATTTGGATTTTGCAACAAATAAGTCAACGTAATTCCAATCTGCTTGGTGGACAGTTCAGGTGCCACTAAATAAATAAACTTGAATAAATTTATCATCTTAAACAAAACCTGTGCATAAACCATAGACAACTTACATCCATTTGTAAATACCCATTTACCATTGCTGTAACATCCAGATCCCACTTTTGTAGAAGCCAAAACACGAACATAATATTTTGTCCCTGGTTTCACATTGTTTATGTCCAAACGCTGTTCCTCGATCATATACTTCATTGAACAGGTTTCATTCTCCAAATGTGTAATACAAACAGTGTAATTGACTATCTTTCCATTTGTTTTGTTCTTGTCTGGTGGCTCCCATGTAACTGACAACGATGAACTACTTAAGGCGACAATTTGAACATTTAAAGGTGGACCTTCGGGAACTAAACAAAAATAAAAACATATGTTTTAAAGATTTATGTAAAACATTAAAAACACTTTATAAAGAAGTCCTAACAATTGTACACTGTCATTGTTAACTTAAATATAATACAGTATAAGAAAAACATGATTGAAATAAATGTCGACCAGAAAAGATTTGAGCTTTCAAAAGTGGTCTATGGCAATAACACCATCAATGCAACAACAGCCGATATGTATACACAAAAACTGATATGAACTCACCATCTTCAGCAGTTCTAAAATTAGCTGTAGTTGATCTACCAAAGCCTTCAGAATTGCCAGCTGTTACATTAACTTTATACGTTGCGTAAGGAACAAGATTCGTAATGTTGTACGGTTTTTTATCCGTTACCTCCAAAGTTTTATCAAAAACAATCATAGCATCCTTCATTAAAATCAATACATATCTTGTAAGAGGATTCGAGATATTTGTACCAAGTTTTACACCAGTTTTTGGGATTTTTCCATGATATCTCAAGGTACGTCGATGCAGATTTTGTTGCAATGAGATCTGTTGGTTTGTCTGGGAGTAAGTCTGCACGATAAAAGAAAAATCTACAAATTGAACCATGTGTAGCCCCTAAATGAAATCAGTGTTCTGCTTTTTCTTCAATAACACGTGTTAAACTTAACTGCATGTTGAAAAATATTGTTTCAATAATTTTATTTTATTAGAGAAAGAAAACTAACACTTCAGCCTTCATAGAAAATTGTTCACTTTGTCAACTAACACACGTTTAATTATTACTCAGAGAAAAAAACTTTATATATTGCGTAATTAAGTGCTTCCAGTGCAAAGTAAACCTGGTATATTTTTTCCGTCTCTTACCTCCACCACAAATTTCAATTCGTAAACACGGTGCACCAACAAATTTCAATGGAAAGATTCGCAAAGCTTTGGATTTAAGGCCACCAGAAAACTTTTCTATAGCCGCATCATTATAACCATTTTTGTTTCCTAGATAAATCTGGAATAAAAAAAAGATTTTCGTGTATTTGCAGAGCAAGGTTAGAGAAAAGCCAGGTTTGTTTAACGCAATCCAGAGGAGAGTAGTTTATGCATTGTCTATGTATCTCTTCAAATCATGCACATAGCTACAATTTAAACATAATAATCAAATTCAAGATTCTTTCGTAGTGCTGAAGTAACTAAGACAATCAACACAGTGATGTAGCTAGCGCATAAATTTGGTCATGCTATATGTAAATTTTTCAGTGCTCACTTACTGTAAAAACTATAGATCTCTAAAGAAATGAATAATGATAATGATCTGAAATTTACACAGAACCAGCAATTTTGCGTGCCGGCTACACCACTGAATCAACATCTGCACACAAGCTTGTATATAAATAGCAATTTAAAAGTTTACTTAGTTTATAACTTCATTCCTTTTTTAAATTTCCCATTAAATTTGTAGTATACAAATTCAAGTATTCTACCCTTACCTTCTGGGATTTTTCAGATTTCCAGTTCACACCATCAATGTTTGTCTGCAAATGATATTTAGTTACAAAGCTTGAACTTGAACTGTCACCAAAGATTGCGATAACGTTAACTGTATAAAGACTTGGGAAGTTCAGTTGAAAATAATAATTGCCATCTGCAGCAGGAGCACACCATGAACTACCACTGGATATTCTTGCTTTAGAAGCACTACGACTCTTTGGGAAGGCAGTAAACCAAGAATCTGGGAATTTTTCTGCGTTTTTTAATAGAGGATTATCACAAACATGACCTTAAATAGAAAAGGGATTTTGTTGAAGTGCATTTCGACATTAAAACTGGTTTGATTTGATAGAGAGCAATGACGCAATCCCATATTGTTCTCCATTCACGAAAAATCGTAAAAATTAAAAATTGTCGTCTGAAGAAAGAGAAAGAGAGAGATAGAGCAAAAGAAGTATTTGAGGAATACGATTGATTTTCCATGGTTTTATTAAATAAGGTTAAATTCCAGTTGGAATCAAGCCAGCTATGACAAGAAACCGTAAGTATCTTGTCTAATAACAGCAATACGGTAGCGATATAAATCCCATTAAAGAGTGAACGTTAATCATCGTGCAGAGCAATTACAATTGGACATTTTTTGAATCACGAAATGAACTAGCAAGAATAAAATTAATTTAATCCTCAGTATTCGCAGCAACCCTGTCTGAATTATTCATTATCCAAGAGTAGCAATCGTTTATATTTTGATATATTTGTAAAAGA